ATTTGTGAATGTTGTGTATCTGTTAATTTGTCACCTCTGTTCATGCCATGTCTCCGTTCCAACAAATAGCTGCATTCACATCTTGCAAACACCTCCCAATTTGAGACATCTTTTTATAATTACATTCACATTCCCATGCCGCCTGTGCTTTGCCAGTAACATCCGATTAAATTCATCTTGTCAAGCGTCTCGGATTGAAATCAAATCCACGTTCACTCCAGTGATTTCTCAATTGAGTTTAATACTGACGAAGAGAAGTCAGGCGTGCCATTCAAGGCCAACGACTTAATGTTACTGAAGTGTCTTGAGGCAGATATAAATGTTTCCTTTTCCTCGTGCAAAATTAATAAAAACATACAGCATTTCAGTTTTACGATGAACATGGTAGAAATAAACAGCCTGTGCAAGATACGTGTGGAAGACAGGTACAGAGTGGCAATATTTCTGTCAAAGCACAAGAAATACTTTTACTTTTTCTTTTATTGTTAGGCAGAAAATGAAATCCTCAACCGTGTGATGATGTGAACCCACAATGAGGCAGTTTGAAGGCTGGATTGATTCGTGCAGACAGAAATAGGCAGGTCTCAGCAGCAAAGAGTGAGCTGTGGCAACGAAGGCTGGCACAATTAAGTCAATGAAAGCAAATTAAAGTACAGGGGCTACATTCACAGAGGCAGAAAGATACAAGGATCAGTTTTAGTTCAGCAGCAGTTTACTGTCCACAGCAGACGAACACTTGCACATATTTTTCTAAGGAATTAAGGGACAGAAATAATTAACCTGAGTCTGAACTCAAAAGTTATTGGTTAATAATTCTAGGTTGTAAAACTGTTTGTTTCAGAGCATAAATAGATTTCTGCTCTTTTACAGCCTTTTTCCAGAGTTATCGCATTTTTTACTTCATCTATTCAGTCTGACTTTTAATTTATTTACTAACCCATATAATTTATTATTTCATTCAGATCCTTGCGACTTTTATATTATGTTTTAATATTTGGCAATAATCATGACAAGTAGTGCTGTAACAATCTCTTGGGCTACACGTTTTGTGTTTGTAACTTTGGTCTAGTTAAGGTTTGTTTTTTAGTGATTATGATGCGCTTAAATTTGCAATAATTCTTGTGTTTTGTTTCTCTGTCTTCCCTGGTTTACTCACTGCTCTTTCTCAGTGACTTTGGTTTATAGTCTACCATAAATGTTCCTTCTATGTCCATTTACTTGTCTGTCGTTCATTTAGTATTTCAGACTCCCAGGTGTGAAAACTGAATGTTTTGAATAATCCACACCTGCAACATGACAGATGTGGCCTTCAAATAGCAACTGTTTTTATACTGAGATTAGATTACACATATGGAGACTATTTAGTGATTAGGTACGTTGTTTTTGTTTGGGTGTATTAGGTTAAAGGGAGGAAACACACATGGAAGCCATACAGTGGGTTTTTATCTGTAAGGCATCATTTTCCTTTCAGCTCACATTTCTCCCCTACTTTTTTGAAATGTATGAAATTTTAAGGGAAATGAACAATTTTACAAGGCATTGTACAACAGTGCTTCTGGGAGAATCAGAAACATCAAAGATGCTGTTTGAACCTACACAACATTAAAACATGGTTCATCCTGTAGGTGTGGATTAGATGGAGGACGAACTACAAAATGTCCTAAAACTGACAGCAATACCCAGTCCATGTTTGCATCGTTTGGGACATCCAGTGCAATTGTTTTGCCAGAATAGCTAATAAAGGTTAATCTAAAGTTGGATGGGCATTTTCGTTTTCTATGTGAGGGGAAAACAATAGGGATGAGTTGCTGTCAGTTCAGAGGGGCAGCCAAGATAAAGGGGATATTGATAGGGTTCCCTTAAAGAAAGACATGCCGCCCTTCAGCTCAGAAAGCATTGAAAGGCCCAGTAGGATTGTTGGCAGAGTTCCATGAAGTCAACACCAACCACGACTTTAAACTTTTGAAAGGGTTAGACACAGAGCTCTTCCTGTTGTTTCTGTGTGTGAGCATTGATTTGGTTTAGAAAGGACTAAGGTCAGTGGTCAGAAGTCAGTGGACAGGTTGAGTAAGATAATGGTTTCAGCAACTGTCCCTGTCTCTCAAAGGATTTTTTTTTTCTTTCGTTTTTATAAAACGTACCGTTAGGAATCCTCAGCTTCATGAATTTGGTTCACTTTTTTCCTTCACATTTTGTCTTGACGGGGCACAGCCTCGGCCACATCTTCTTCAGTTTCCTGCTGTTCAGAGAGAAGGAACTGCACTCAACAGCAACGTCTTCTGCTCTTACACTGTGAAGGTCCTCAGCACATCACATCTATCTGTAGCTCCCTACTGTAACTGTAAGATCCAGGCACAACTCAGACATCTATCCATCAGTAAAACCTTCATTACTCCTTTTGCAAGAATTCATGAGTAAAGTCCTTTCATTACTCCTCAAAATAAGTATTTATTTTGTTTGGTTTAAATAAATTCATAAAATGCATTTTTATCAGCCAGTTCTGCGAACCAAAATTCAGAGTAACCATTTAGTCTGCAGTCATGTAAGCAATGATACAAACCCTTGCTTATTATTGTGTTGTCACTGTTTCCAGTTTTTTTTTTTTTTTTTATTTCTTATGCCTCAGGTGACACCTTTTGCTCAGCTCACGCTGGCACCTCTGAGGGCCCTCACTGAAATGTTTGCACACCCACCATGTTGTTGTTTTGTCACTGAGAGTCAAATCTGGAGCTAATCAATACCTGTGAGTGCAACCAAGTAATTTCACCTTCGACTGAAAGCCCGATGTGTTCTCTAAAACTGATTGTCGGTCACGTCTAAACCAAAGGTGTAGTCTGGTATTAGTGTCATGTTGATATTACGCCAATTTTCTGTTGATTTCTTTACAGCGGCAAACGCATTTTATTTCCCTGAAATCTTTAGCCCGATTGCATTTATAGAAAATTCCACATGCCAACAAAACTGACATGTTAATAGCCGATCAACCTAAGAAACAAATCGAGCATCAAATATCCTAAAATGCTAAAGCAACATAAAATAAAATAAAAAACTTTGCTCTATATTTGTATGTAAGATTGAGGCCTTTTTGCTCAGTAGAGGCTGAGCAAAAAGTTTTGAATGCTACTTTTTATTTTAGACTGGACATCACAATGAATTAATCTTAATCTTTAGGAAATTTTTGAAGGCTGTGAAGGCCACAAAGACGCGAACTGCTCCGGGAACGTTTCCAGGCACATTTCTCTAGGAGGAGACCTTTGGGCCAAAGCAAAACTCTCAGGAGGCGACATGTATCTAATCTGGCCTACGAACACTTTTGTATCTTTAGGATCAACCTGAAGGCCGTTTCATTTCCCTGCTGGATCTGTTACCTTGATGACCCATGATGAGCAGACAGTTTTTTATGCATTTATACACTGCAAGATTAAATTGTAAATTCTATGCAACGATGTTTAGTATATTTCTGTACAATAAACAGACTACCAGTTGGAAAGAGTTCATTGGTTATTCCTCTGGATTTAAGCACTCATTCCACTTCAGACCTGTCTGTAGCTTGTATGACTTCAGAAGAAATTATCCCTCTTTATCTGGTAAATGCCTCACATGAGCTCCTAACAAACCATTGGTGCTCAGGTAGACTGATTAAAACTATTTAAAAGTTTGTTACTATTTTGATGAAGCGCTTGATGGCTGTAAATGGGCTTAATCCCAGAGCTGAGAGTTGCACTGAAAGGTCACAAATCTGTTTTATGGGAGTTTGCAGTGGAAGTCTAACCATAAAATATAAATTTATATCAATTCCATTGCAGCTCTGAGATCCAGGAGGGTTGCAGTTGAACAACAGTGTGATAAATACCCCCCAACCTGTCTTAAATTCAGGCCCACTGCATGACTTTCCATATTGATCCAGCCCAGAAGCATTTTTCAGGTATATATATTTTCTGGTTCACTGGCACTTCAAGCAACAGTAAAAAGGAGAGAAGATTGTGTTTGGTTTCCTTGGCTCTGACTCAGCTTCTCGGTGTAAGAAGTTTTGAAATATAGCACAATCATCGCGTCACGTCTGCTGAAATGAATAATTTAATTAGAACAGTGCAGTAGCCTGTTTTGATAACACTCTTCCTTCCTACAGTGCATCAGGCCGTACATGCTGCAGTGTATTAATCATAATCCACCACACAGTTTGGCACACATGTCAGTGAAAGGTCTATTGAGCCATATAGCAAATGTCACCCACATCGCTTCTGGTTTTAGCGTTCAGGAACACGTAGAAAGCCACTTACTTTGCTTTGATAATAGATGTCCTTTTCATCATATCACTGATCTGGGAGACGTAGCTCTGTAATTGCATCTCTCCTTTCTTTGCAGAAAATGTTACAGTTTCAAAAGACAGAGACAATTTACACCTTTGCAGATTTTCACTGTTTTTGCCCTTTTTGTCATATTTAAATGTTTTAGGTCATAAAAACAAAACGTCAAAAACAATGGGCAAATTCAAAATGTAAGTCTCAACGGATGATTTCAGCCATGTTTTCTGATCTAATGATGCGTTCATGGAATAATTTTGGTAGGTTCACTATGTTTTCTTTCCCCAAATTTGTTGATCATGACTTCTTTTGTGGTTTAAAGTCTCAGGAAGGGTTTCTGGACCCTTTCCAGACTGATACAAGATATTATTCTGTTCTTAAAAACATTTTTTTCTGCTTTTAATTTTCTCAGCAATGAAATATCTCTTCATCACAAAAGAGATATATGATTTGAATGCTTTTTTTTGTAAAACAGACTCAAAACAAGACCTGTTCAGAGAGAAAGGAGATGGTAATAAATGACTCTTATGTTTTATTTGATGTGTACTTGACCTTTATCTGAAAAAGTAAAGCTCCTGGAAACGAGCGATCATTTTTAAGAGCAATCGTTATGGAGAAGACGTTTGTTGTTCTAAGCTGTGTTTTCTTATCATCTATTAAGGTTGGCTTTATCTCTCCGGTTATGTGTCTCCGCAGCCATGTTACGAGCGAGTAAAGGACTGGCTAAACGACAACCTGGTGGCACTTTGGATCTTTGCTCTATGCACAGCTCTCACTCAGGTAATGACAGCTTTAAAAATTAATGATTTTTGTAATAAGCTTTCTCATGTCTTTGACATTAAAACGGCTTAGTCTACGACATGAATGAGTCTCACACTGTTGCAACATGAAGACTTGAACTCGGGGGTTTTGTGGGTAGCCTCCTGAGGACCACATAGTGAGCTTGGCTTTGCGTAAAATTCTCTTATCTCCCCTGCAGCTGAATGATTCGTGATGTGCTTCCCTAATCTGAGAGGATAGATGCTCCATGTTGCCTGAAAACATCAAGTACAGAATGCTCCCCTGATGCTGCAGGCTTATTTTCAGTCAATACCGTTTTTGGAAAAATGAAAACCGGAAAGAACATGTAATTACTGCCAGATTTATCTCAAAGATCTGTGGTGTTTGCCGGCTGAGTCACAGCCTTATATCAGCCTGTTCTCATTTCCAGGGTGCCGCATACTGTCGAAAGTAGAAGAATCTCCTGGTGTCATTTGAACATTTGAACCAAACACTGCCTTGTTGATCACCAACACCAAAACGTAACAAACTAAAAACATTGCTGGGAAGTTTAGATTGGGGCACCCTGAATTATAGTTTCTATGTTACGTATGTAAAAATGCAGTAACACAGTAGACTTGCTTAGTAATAATGTAAAATACATAATATGACTTCTGCTCACAGTAGTTTCTACAATCTACCTACTGACAGATTAGTTTCCAGAATCCCTGAGATGAGTTTTGAAGTTGTACCTTTGAGAGTCTATAAGCTGCAACTGAGATTTTACAAGGCATCTTCCATAATTAACAAGATATCTTCTTAAAATACGTTAAATATTTTTCCTAGAACTTGTGCTGGTTACTTTTGTGAACAATCTTATTTAACTTGTTCAGTTGCAACCTGATATTTTCCAAAACTTGCTGATTAAACTCCCAGAACTTGATTTCTGTGGTTTTGAAGTGACTTGACATTTTCTGAAACATAATAGTCACACCCTGAAATCGTACCTACGTTCCAGATTTTAAAGGTTATCTTTACAGAATGTATGACCTTTTTTCCCAGAACATTTAGGTTTCTGAAATGTGAAGAGTACGTAAAGGAAACAGACTCTTTCATTCAGTAACTGATGACCTAGCACTATCAAAAATTTTAAAGGTAACTTTTCAGAACTAAGATACACTGTTCTATAAAGAGCAACTTGTAAGTTCTGGAAAGTATTGTGTAAGCTCTGGTAATGTAACCTGTAAGCTCCAAAAGGTAACCTCTAAGTTCCAGGTAAATACCCCAGCAGTTTCCAGAAATTGATTTGTGAGATCTGGATGTGAATTCTCTTACATTTAGACAAAGTTATCTAAAAGATAGCACAAAAAGACAAGCTTTCTTGTCTGTTCTTGTAAAAGTAAGCTGTAAACTTCAGAAAGTAATCTGAGGTGTCAGTAAATACCTTGTAAGTCTCCAGGTAAACAGCGTGTAGGTTTTTGGAATAGCCTCTATGTTGAGGTAAATAACCCTGTAAAATCATGAACGTCTGTTTGTCCAGTAAAAGCATCACTTAAGTTTGTAAACAACCACTGAATTTAAAATAAAGGACCTGTACATTCTAGGAATGAAAGCAATACATTTCTGTAAGGTCCCAAAAAAGGCTGCAAGTATGTATACCATGCATTATTTACTGTATGCTTTTCCTGTATATGTATCACAGCCTTAAACTGTTCCGTTTTAGGTTATATTCTCTCTTCTATCTGAGCTATTATTTCTGCTTCTTTCTTGAGTGTACAAGCGTCATCTTGAGAATATGCACATACCATACTCACCGCTCATTTTTCCTCTGTAAGTGCAACCTTGTACAACTGTGGGGTGTTTGTGAAGGTAGTAGAAAGCTTCATTTTAGAAGCCCAAAATATTTATGACACAGTTTGTTTTCTAGAGTTGTTATAACTTGCAGCATCTAGGGGAAAGAAACAGTATTCACGTTTTTTTAGAATAATCCCTGGTGCTTCTAGCCAAACGTAAGTGATAACCAAGGCGTGGTAGAACATTTTTAAAACTCGTTAGAGATCCTGTTAAGGCCACGAACTGCAGCCTAACTGGCTCCCTGCTGAAAAATGTATGAAATAAAAAGCTCAGGGACAATTCAATAAATGAAAAGAATGTTTATTTATGAGCAAAAACAATTGGCTTTCTTTCCAGGGTATTATTTAATTTATTTACACACTCAAACACACGAACACACCCAGTTCAGAGCAGCACTGAGCATTTTAAATTTTAAAACAGTTTGTTGTTTTTTTTTTGTGAGAGATGTTTTGTGTCGAGATACGTATTTCTGTTTTAGTTATATTCCACAGTTTAAACCAAACAGCAACATTTTTGTGGAAGCTCTTTTAGCCATACACTCAAACGCCAGTCAGATATTTTAAGGTTCACTGAATATGAACGTAAATTTCCTTTAACCTGTATAAACACACTAAAGAATGACTGCATATCTAATAAACAACTTTACTGATCACACTTGTTCAAACTGAAGGTGAATATTAGTACTCCTCTTGTTACAATCCCAGGCTCTGCAGGGAAATTTAGAGTCTCAAGGTTTGTGTGGCTGTTACTTTGACATATACCATCCATCTAAAACACTGGCAGAAAAGGGAACCCACTGACAAATGGAAACAGCACAGCTCTGACAGCAGGGGCTTCCCACAGCGGGACAACGCGGCCCACCACACTGCTAAAACTGCTCAAACAGCTTGAGGAACAAGACAAGGAGCTTAAAGTATTCACCCAGCCTCCAAACTCCCCGGGTCTCAATCCAAACAAGCTTCCTACAGGGTGCACTGAAAAAAAAAATAGCCAAATCTCACAGGACTCCAGAGTATTAACTGTTGACATCTTGCTGCTTACCAGTTCATGACACCCTCAGAGATGTGTTTATACCCCACGAATAAGAGCTGTTTATAGCAGCATGAGTGCAAAAGTAGTTTTCATGAAGTCGGCTGTTGTAGTTTTAATTTAAGTTTTGACTCTTTATATAACTTTTTCTTCCATTTGTCATCATTTCGCTGGAAAATGTCAAACTTTTTGCTGCAATAAAATTTGATAGATTGCGGTTTTTGCAGGTAAATGAAAAAAAAGTACTTTCAAGTTGAAGAAAAATCTATAAAAACAGACATTAAACTTTTAAACTCATCCAAAACTGCTTAGAAAGTTGAATAAGCTGTAAAAAGGCCTTTAAGAGAGTTTGTGAAACCCATTTCATGATTCACTTCTTGAATCATTAAATTAAAGAACTGAATCATGACGTCAACCATGTTAAATTGCCTTGTTGTTGAAATGCTTTCTGAAAATAAAGTTGATTTGACTTGAAATGTCATCAGTGTGATGTTGTAGAAAGATGGAAAAAAACTGCAGTTTTTGTAAGAAACCAAGTTTTATTTTTGCAAAATTATGTTCATGGAGAAATGAGAGATTACCATTAAATCATTAGAATCTAAATTTAGGAGATCTGCTAGGTTTTCTGGTTGAATATACTGTCAAGTTTTATCCTAGTGACACATGGACTACAGGCACTAAAGTATCCTTAAAAACATTTGTTTGTAAGGAAAAAATCCACTGCAGTAAAAGCAGCATCTTTCTCTCTGCTAACATATTTTACCATCATGTAAATATGGGTAATGAGCAGCATGCATTAGGACAACCCTAGGCCATATTTAGGTATATTTATGGAAAATACACACTGCAAAAAGCTTCCAGTTCTCAGTGCTCTGCTTGCTTTAGAGATTAAGCAAACATAAATATCCAATGGCAGCAAAAGAAAAGTGATTACACTGCTGACTTTACGAATAAATGGCAGGAATATGTATGAATGCATAATTCTGAAATGTATTTAGTTTATTTAATTTAACCATATTTTTATTTATATAGTGACAAATTTAAAAAACAATGTTATTTAGGGCACTCACTTTACAAAGTGAGTTATTTAGAATTGAATTCAAATTCAGTTCAGATCACTTTAACATATTCCAGTATAATCAATAGTCAGATTAGGATCCAATGACATGCAGCAGAATCCTAACTTCATTCCACTGATTATACACAATAATGCAAATTGCTAATGCGTTATTTCTCCAAGAAAGACCAGCTGACTGAGTCAAGTCATTGACTCAAATATTTCTACTTCTCCAATATAGAAAGCCATTATTACAAACCATATGATTATTTGCATTGAACGTGCTTCACATACAGAGGTTAATGAAGTGAACTCCACTAAATTAAGTCTTTCCTTTGAGGGCAGAATTACTGTGGTGCACTGAGGACAGTCTGTCCCAGCTGGGAGTTGCATTAAGTGAGAACTGCCACTCCCAGCAGGTAAAGGGCAAATTGTGCACAGCTGTTCCTCAGTAATAGGAACTAAAACTCCAACTTGTATTTATTGATTGAAAATAACAGAATGCACTGACAGAGAGCAGAAGCACATTTATATTTTGTGTTTAGAAACACAGTCCTGACCCTGAGTATGTCTGACAAATTTAATGGTTGATTTTGCAGTTGCTTAGTGTTGGGCCTCATGAAAATGGAAGTGTGGGTCTCACCTCATTACAAGAAACTACGTTTTGTCACTTATAAACCTGCGGTGGTGGTAATAGAAAGTCATATTTAAACTGTAAAGCAATCACAAATATGGCTCGCCGCAAAAAGAGTTCAATTTGCTCAAATCTGCTACACTTCAAGGTGTTTTATCCTGATGTGTGGCTGCACCGTACTGAGCTGAAAAGCCTAACCGATAACAAGGAATGCAACAAAACCATTAGCTGGAAATCTGATAGGAGACACATTAGTAATGTGTTAAATCCTGTAATGTTCCAATGGCATAAAATAACTCAATGTGCCTGTTTCCAATGTTTTGTAAATAAAGAAATAAAGCAGATAATGTGGGTAAAAGATTGTGACAGACTCACGTTAATAGCTTATCTTAAGGAATCCCTAATTTTACTTTTCAATAGTTTTTACTTAAATCTATTATCTTCTTTTTTTTTCAAAATTTAAGAGCACAGATTGCACTAAAGAGCATAAATTCATCTTTTACTTTAAGGAAAAGGCCTCCACACGTACAGATTTAGTAATATTTATTTCTTTATTACTTCCTTTTATATTTTTTTTCTTTAGCACCATATATACTTTAATATAGGTTGCAAATAATTCCAAAGCTTGTAAATTGAGTAAATTGCATTAAAAAGTATCTTTAAAAAAACAACACAT